AGTGTTCCGTATCACCTTTTTCTTGTAACTTTCATGTGTTTCAGCCAAACTACACTGCCTTCCTCTTCTAAATCAGCTGATGCAGCTGTCTTGCCAATATACAGGCTTTCATAGTTGGCCCTGGGCAAAGAGCTGACGAGGCCTCCTCAGCACTCAATTCTACACATTTTCTCCTCAGTGTAGCACATTTTCCCAAGACAGCTACCTGGATCCCTTTCTGAATTTCCCATCTCAGAATCCAGGATGTCCAACCCTCAATTCAGAAACCATTGCCTTTCAAGAAACTTTCAAGGATGGTGACAATAGTTCATAGCAAGCAGAAGCAACTGGGGCTCAAGGATGATGTTTGCTCTACCAGTCGAAAATTTATGTGGGAAGCTACCTATTATCATAACTAATACTTATGAGGAGGGCCAGCTTTCACTCTTTTTATAATCTTGAATCCATTTGGTGAGTTACAATTAAGTAACACTTTGGCAAAATGCATGCTGAATTAAACCTTGATATTGAATGTACCTCCCATGGACTTCCTTTAGAGGGCACTATTGATTCTCTGAAACCATGGAAACCTTTCCTCATGTTTCCTTGGTAAAGTTGGCCAATTTTGAAATCATATTGGGTTTCAAATCTACTCATCTAGAATATTAGGACCATACTCATTATTGAATCTATTTTTAAAATATATTATAGAATAATTCAGAAGCTAAACCAGAATGCTGGTTGTTAGGACAAGACATCAGTACGACACATGTAGTTCCATATTTGGAAACTTCAGCTGGCTTATTTGCTTTTGAAAATTCTTTAAGTGGGAATTTCCATTTGTAAATTAAACAATTCAGTCTTTTGTTTAGAAAGACAAATTAGCACCTCTTTGGAAATTAATGTCCCATTCTAGAAATAGATAATTATTTACATATTTTTGGAAGAAACTGTACTTTCATTCAGACATCCATTAAGGTCTGGAGATATTCTACTAAAATTTCTTCTTCATGTTTCTTATGTTTCATAGACTCTGCCAATTCAAAGAATTTTGATAAAGTCCCTAGGAGAGAACTTTCTTTTTCATTCTCTAAAACAGAAGTAGCAATTTATAAGCTGGCTCACTGCAGTTTTTATCTAATTTCAAAATAATGGGAAACCTGAAATATTTCAAAGCTCAGAAACATAATTTTTCAGATATAAATACATTCATACCACCATCTACCAGGATTTGCTTAGCGTTCATATCATAAAATACTATTTCAACACATGTGCCTTGTATAATAACTTCTTACTAAATTACCAATATTCTAGGATAGTAGCTGATAGTAGTCCCACAGGTATTTTATAAACTAACAAATGAAGAAGCCATGTATGTACAAAGATAAGAGAAAAAAGATGATGGATTTTCATCATTTAATGAATTAAGTATAAATGATCAGACCAGCCTTTAAGACTCTTCACAGAATGGTCCCAGTTTATCTTCCTAACCTCAACCTCCTCTACCAGTAACCTAAGCTCCCAGCAAATGTCACCACCCACTATTATCTGGACATCTGTGCTTCCGCATCTTCTCCCCTTTACTCATCCAGAGTCTACCACTTGGAATGCATCTTCCTCCCCAACTGTCCTCTCCAAACCTAATAAATGCCCAGCCCCTCCCTTAAGTGGCATTTTGAATACCGCTAACTCAATTGAGTCCTCTTCAGAAGGGATCTACCATCCTGTGAATTTCCATGGCTACTTAGGTATAATATCCTTATGGAATTTATCAATTTTGTTTTGAATTTTGTATTTAAGTGGCTTACGTGTTTATTTCATCACTCCTTCTGAACTACACAATTTTTGTTTTGGGATCTGTATCAAGTCTAGTGTCCAACATGTGGTAACAGCTCTCTACATATTCTTTCAGTTGGGTTAAACTGAGACATTATTGCCATTTGCTTAATGAGGGGGCATGGAAGGCAGAATTTGGACAGTGTGGAATCAGAGGGGTAAGGATTAATGCCAGAGATATTAAAGGTGAAGTAAAAGGCCTTACCAACTGATTGAATGTAGAACACACTCTGTCACTCTTATGTTCTCTATCCTATTTTACTTTAAATTATTACACTTTTCTGATATAATACAATATGTAATCCTTCACTAAAATAAAGCCTATATGGGCAAAACATTGTTTAGGTCATCCACTATATCCGCATGGAAGAGTCCAAGATATATTTTAGGTGCTCAATATTTGCTTGGTGAATAGACTAATAAGGATACAAAGGTGACAGCAAATTGTCCTACTAGAAGGATAGCAGCAGCATCAACAGATTAGGAAAAAGAGAAGTAATAAGTTTGGAGAGAATATGATGATTTCAATTTAGTTAGAGGTACATACATGGACATCCAAGTAGAGATGCTGAGGAAGCAACTGAAAATTGGTATTCATATTTGAGAAGAAAGTCAGACTCAGATGTGTAGATGTGGGGCTTATGACACATCTGCAATTTGTTGAAGCCCATGAGATTACATGGTGTTGTGAAGGGGAAAATGTGGGGAGGTCTGCTCTGGCTATATCACTGGGAAGCACCTCTGCTGAGGGGCAGAGCTAAGAGCCCAAACATCAGTGGAATTGGTCATACAAATAAGAAAATCAGAAATATACAGAATGTCCTTTTCTTGACTAACCTCTCTGCTATATTTGACATAATTGAATTTTTCTTCCCATTTAGCTTTGCCATTCTTTACTGTTCCAGCCTTCCTACTCCATGCTAAATGCTGTAGATTTTTATCTTTTGAATTTATTCTACCTTCTTTTCATCAACCATTATAATTGTAGTTCAGAAACATCAACATCTTTATCCAAATTCTTTAGTACCCTTCTTACCAGTCCACCAGCTTCTGGGCACCTGCCTGCCTATTCCACCCTCCATCATTTCACAGAAACGATTTAACAATGACTCAATTTTTCTATGGCTACCCATGATCCATGTCACATTATCAAAACCCTTGACCTGGCTTCTGCCTTCTTGAACAACTTCATCTCTTGCCCCTCCCCTACATTCTCTACCATCCACCAACCATACCAAGCTACCTGTAGTTCCTGATTGCACCATGCTGTTCCTGGTGCCTTAGACATTTTCCAATTGACAAACTCCTTACTTTTTCCTAAAAACAGTCCAAGAATTATCTCTTTCTGAAGCTCCACGAACTCCTAGATTTAGATGCTTATTTCTCTATTCCTCTCACATGCCTCCACTATGGCTTTCAGCTGTTGTTTCACTGTCTTCCCACTAGCCTTTATTAGCCTTCTTGGGGGGAAGGACTAAATTCCTTTAATGTTTGTATTCTCAGCATTTATCCCAGTGTGTGGCACATGGCAGGTGCATGATAAATTTTGATCAAATAAATTGATGAAAAGGAGGAAAAAGTTCAAGGAGGAAGGATGTGGTGATCAGAGAAGCTGGAGCCCATCAATGACATTTGGATTCACTTACAGGGAAATGACTCCGAGAGTAGATTCGGTAGTGTGGTTAAGGCAGAAGCAAGATGACCAAGTTGAGGCAATGAAGATAGACTGTGTTTTCAATAACTGTGGTAGGGAAGGTAAGATAGCTTGTCAGAGAAGTAGGTTTGGGGAAGCTCTAATTTTAAATTTAAATTTAAATTTTTATTATTTTGGATAAAGAAAAATGAGCATAAGTAAGTGACCCAATAAAAAGGGAGCTGTTGCTGATTCAAACAAAAAGGATAAAGTAACAGAAAAGTTCCAAAGGAAGGAAGAAGAGATGGCCTCAAAGGCACATGATGAAGTAGACTTTATGATGATCTAACCAATATCTAGTACCCTTTCTTGCAGTAACTACCCTTAATTTCAACTATCTCTTTCCCAAGTGTAAGCCCACAAGATGACTAACTCCAGGAAACTCTATTCCTATTGTATTTTATGTGAAAGGCCCAGAACACAGTTCCAGAATAGAAATCCATATGAATCATGCAATTGGACAACGCTGCCTGGGTACTCCAAATTCTATGTGCATTGGAGAAAAATTCAACTCCACCCTATTTCTAGAAACAGAGTATGGGGTTCAAACTTAAAATAACATGAACTTATCAACTGACATTAGTTACGGGTTTAGGGAAGGCATTTCATCCAATTTAGACCAGTGAGATATGAGAGGGATTTTTTTCCCCCCAGACTTTTGAAAATGAAGCTTCTCTGCTCTTCTGAATGAAGTTTTAGAACGAATTCTTATTCTCTGCTTGAATATTTTAAAATGAAGCATGTCACCCTGGAACTGCTGCAGTCATCTTGTGATCCCAAGGAGCCCTAACCTTAAAGTGAAGTTGATATCAGCAAGAGCAGAGAAGAGAGCACAGAATTCAGTTCCTCATGCACTGCTGAGCTGCTGAAGTCATCCTCCCTCTGGACTTAGCTACAGAATGTATAATTCCTCTTTATTGTTTTAGGCCAGTAGAAATACAAAAGGAGCTATGATAGTCTAAGAAAAAGAATACAGACTCCTCTTCCTCTGAGACCAGAGGGTGAAGATACAGAGAAATGATAAAGTAGAGAAATGTGAAGTGTTTTTTTGGTTGAACATCTATTTGTGTGTTTTCTATGAGCTAGACAATACATTTAAGACTCTATACTCTTTTTTTATTTTTATTTTTTTTAAAGATTTTATTTATTTATTTGACAGAGAGAGACACAGCAAGAGAGGGAACACAAGCAGGGGAAGTGGGAGAGGGAGAAGCAGGCTTCCCACTGAGCAGGGAGCAGGATGCCAGGCTCAATCCCAGGACCCTGGGATCATGACCTGAGCCGAAGGCAGACACTTAACGACTGAGCCCCCCAGGCGCCCCATGACTCTATACTCTTGATTCAGCATATCCTCACAACAGTTTTATGAGAACTATCATCATTTTATTTTTATTTTATTTTGTTGCCATCAATAAGAAATTTACTTGTTTTAAAAAAATCCAAATGCTGCCATTGTCCAGAAAAATTTAACAGGTTTATTTATAATGGTTATAAAAATATGGAATGCTTCACAAATTTGCGTGTCATCCTTGCACAGGGGCCATGCTAATCTGCTCTGTATTGTTCCAACTTTAGTATGTGTGCTGCCAAAGGGAGCACCATCATCATCATTTTATATGATAAACTGAGGCTATAAGAAATTGAGGGGCGCCTGGGTGGCTCTGTCGTTAAGCGTCTGCCTTCGGCTCAGGTCATGATCCCAGGGACCTGGGATCGAGCCCCGCATCGGGCTCCCTGCTCCGCAGGAAGCCTGCTTCTCCCTCTCCCACTCCCTCTGCTTGTGTTCCGTCTCTTGCTGTCTCTTTCTCTGTCAAATAAATAAATAAAATCTTTAAAAAAAATAAAAAAATAAAGAAATTAAGTGATTGGGTGTGTCACTTGGCAGTAAGTAGAATTCACAGTTGAGTAGCATGTGAGTCTAGGTAGAGAGGCTTCCAGATCCCCTTGCCCTATGGTTGGGTTGTAGCAATTTTCCCAGGAAAGCAGGGAACATGCAGAGGCAGAGAGCATGTTGAGTGGGGGTATAGCAGTGCCTGAGGACTGTGGGATTGTAGAAAAAAAGCAGGGAGTCAGTTTGAGATAAATGAAAAAAAATTACCAAGGAAGAGAGAGGCTCTGGAAATACCAAATCTGTATTTCACAGATTATCTTGAACAGTATCACAAGGAAAAATTGTAAACTGCCTCTTGATGGTGCATCAATCTATCTTCGTATCAAAAATATTGAACGGAGGAAGACTTGACCATCATCAAGTTGAGTTAAATTTCCTCACCTTGTAGGTATGGAATCTAAAGTCCAGGGAGGACAATATGTTATAATAATAAAGACTAGAGTCTCTGAAATTGACAGCTGACCAATTCTCCCAGGAGCTTGGCTCCCCTATCCATAATTTTTCTGGAAGCCACATTTAAAATAAACGAGCCAGACATGGGTGGCATTTATAGGGATAAACAGAAGAGATCCAACCCCTTACTCTATTTATAGACTCTCAGCTTGTCAGTGATACATAAACACTAATTGATACTAGCTACTTCATTCTTTTACCACATTTTCTTCCTTCCAAGAAAACCCCCTCTTTAGTTTTTGCTTCCACTCTTTACCTTTGTATTCTTTTTACTGAGCCTGATGGTGGGAAATGCACTAAAACTCTGATGTAGAAAATGCATTTGAATCCTCCTCAGCCACTGACTATGCCTGTAGGTAGGATGCTTGTCCTGCTTACCTGAGTTGGGATAAATGAGTGGGAGGGGGTGACCAATGAAATGCCATACCATAAAGGCCTCTGTGAAAAAGCAGATATGGGACACTGGAGATGGTAAGACGATTTCTAGTCCTTACTCTCAAAGATGGTTTTCGGAGATGAGTAAAGATAGAGAAGGCTTACTTATCAATATGGGAAGGAAAAACTGGAAAAAAAAAACTGAATATAGGTAATATATTGCTGGACAGATTCAAGATTCAAAATGAGCTTGATAGACTGGGATATAGAGTAAAACAAATGAGATATGGCTTAATAAGTATTAACAGAAAGTCTGGAAGCTGAGTCAGAGATTGTTATAGCTGTAGAGATCCTGCTTTGGATTCAAAGAATTAATACAATGAATTCAAATTGGGGAAGATACCTTTAATAGTTGCTCATGTAGAAATTCTCTGAAAAAGTTCTAGTTCACTTCATGTTGGTACAAACTATGGCCTTGACTGGATAGATATTGAAGGAGCAAACAAGTCCATTGGATGCTGGCTGGCCTGATCACACTGGGGACATGGGTGTACTCTAGATGACCCATCTTAAGAGGGATGCCAACAACTCAAGACAGGGAGGAGTCAGGAAATCACAAAGAAAAATTGGAAAAACTAGGGATATTATACTGAAGAAAAGAGAAATGAGAAAGAAGGGGAACAGTCTTTAAATAGCCAAGGAATTAATTATCTAGTGAATTAATGCGTGACTGAATTAAATGATCTCAAAGGCACTTCAGCTCTACAATTTAATGATTTATGATCTTTCAAAACATGTCTAGTTCATGCGGAGAGAACCACTACTAATCTGGTCTAAATAGCCTTTCAGTGTTTTCTATGCATATTTACATATATTATTTATTCATATTCTACATATTTTTTTCTTAATCAAATAAGGACTATTCTGTGTATATAGATTATAATTGATTTTTTCACTTAACATATAGGAAACATTTTTCTATGTCATTTTATGACCTAACTTTTAGAGATTATGCAGTTTATGTTCCATAATCATGCAAATAGCCCCTTATTTTTAGACACTGCATTATCTTCAATTATTTAATAATTATAAGTGACCATGTAATAAACCTTCATATCTTCTCTTCAGAAAAACCAGACTCATCTTTAAGGAGAAATGGTTTCATGACTGCATCAAACAAACCAAAAATCAAGCCAAATAAGAGAAAATAACTTACTCTTGACATTTTAAGAGCATCTAATTTTCCTTATAATTTTACTTTGCCTGGAAACATTTTGAAGCAGAGAATTCTGGCTTTTAAATATTCTATGCAGCAGGAAACACACTATTCATTTGATATGTTTTTTTTCCCATTTATAAAATTATCCCCTTCATGTTAAAATTGCCTCAGGATACAAGTACAAAATACAAAAAACATTTAATTAAAATATATAAAGCAGAACACTAGTATGGTAGCATAATCAATGTTAATGACAATACAAAAATATAATAGTCACTTTTGAAGATGTAGGAGAAAACACTAGGTTAGTTTTTAAAATATAGGATATGAAGTATTTCAAATTATAGTTCAACATAATAAGAGTACCACACCTGACCACATTAGATACAAATTGCATTATTTTAAATTAATGCTGTTTACTTTCCCTATTTATTTCATTTCACAATTCTGAGATAAGTGCACTAGAAGCAAAACACTTAATTCAAGAGAGTTTTTGGCCTCAAGATCAAAAAGCAGATGTGGGTAGGTGTGGGCACATTTGAAAAGGTTTCCCTTAGCAAATAATGATTGTTTTTGTGAATTCAAGCCCTTTTATTTTTGTGCGATATGATTTAGTTAGAGAAGTGCTTGTGGAAAATATTTTATTTTCAAATAAAGCCCTTTACCACAGAACTCACTTTGTAGGCATAAGCCCAAAATTTTAAGATAGGCAACTCTTATAAAAATCTCTAAAGATGATTAATGTGAGCTATGACTCAAGATGGCAAAAATCTCCAGGAATAAAACCTCTTCTCATTATCTGAGAAGGCTTCTTTGGCTAAGTTTGCACTGAAGGAAACAGGTTGGCAAGGAAAGGAATCTCAAGTAAAACAAAAAGCCACCTGAGAGAGCTTTAAAGGGAACTGTTCTAAGGCTTTGAGGCAGCTTTACCTAAATCACATAGTCACTTTCTTTAGGGTAATTTAATCTTTGTAAGAAACTGCATTGTTTGAAACTATGTGGCCCAGAATAAGTCTTCAACATGCTCTGTCTCTAGTGGAGAAGTGCAGTCCCTATGTCACCATGGAAATCAGACTTTTAGTCCTCGGCCTCTGAGATGACTTGTATTTGTTGTAATTTTCCAAGTGAGAAGCTATCCTTGCAAATAACATTCTCCAGGGGTCTGGCACCATGAGATTTGCCCAGAGACTTCTGTGGCATTTGTTAAGCTGAGGATGAAGACATGACACTGACCCTGTTCTCATTTTTTAGAGCCCAGTCACTATGTTAGCCTGAATTGACAGTGGCTAAGAAGAGGGTGTTGGGGACATAGATTGTTTTGCAGCTTATAAGATTTTGGCACAGAAAGAAAAGACAGAAATGGGAGGAAGAATTTTTTAAAAGGCAAACTGTGTCAACTCAGTGTGTAGTAAAGAATTAACCTTACCCAAAAAGAGGTCAGGTTTTTACCCTTAGTCCCTCTGAGAGGTGATCTCTAAACCCTTGAAATGTCATCTCTGATTAAGAGTGTCTGAGAACTTTGGGCCACACCAATAGCCTATCAATGTGATGCAGGGTGGGGACTTTAGGTCATGTGTCATCAAGGAGATCTCCAGAGGGGCTGGATATGGAGGTCAGCAATGCAGATGACCAGTCAGGTCTATGTAACTGAGCCCCAATAAAAACTGCAAATCAAGGCTTAGGTGAGTTATCCTGATTGGCAATACTTTGTGTGTATTGTTTCACATTTTTACTGAAAGAGTTAATGCTGTCCACACTCCAGCAAGAGAGAACAATAAGAAGCTCTAAGTTTAGAACTCTCCAGGACTCTGCCTGATGCATCTCTTCCCTTGGTTTAATCCGTCCTAGTGCATTGTAATAAACCTTAATGATGAGTATAATGATTATGCTTTCAGTGAGTTCTGTGAGTCCTTTTAGCAAATTATTGAAATGGAGGGTGGTCAGTTATACACCCAAACTTGCACTTTCTATCAGAAGTGAGGGTGGTTTTGTGGACTGCTTCCTAATGTTGCACTCAGCAGCAACACAGCTCCCTCCATTCTTCCTCATAATGACCCACCTATGAGCTATGTCCACCTCTTCCTCCATATCTCCTCTTGGACCCCCACCCCACCACTCTATAACCCAGTATGTCCAATACTATATAAGATTACCCCACAAAAATATTCCTCCTTAACCTTCCACTATCTCCTTGCTAGGAGAAGTCATCCATTCCAGCCTGGCTGCTCCCACCCTGGCTTCCCTCAGACGTGAATATACTGTCTTTACTCAGGCTGTTTCGCTTCCCTTGATTGTCTCCTTCCCCTTATCTCATCCAAATCTACCTCTATAAACACTAAAAAGAGTGAGATCATTTCAATGGATGCAGAAAAAGCATTTTACAAAGTACAACATCCATTCATGATTAAAAAACAAAAAAACAAACCCTCCACAAAGTGGGTTTAGAGGAACATGCCTCAACATAATAAAGGCCTTATATGAAAGACTCACAGTTAACAACATACTCAATGGGGAAAAAACTGAGAGTTTTTTCTCTGTCAGGAAGGAGACAAGGATGTCCTCTCTCACCAGTTTTATTCAACATAATACTGGAAGTCTTAGCCACAACAATCAGACAACAAAAAGTAATAAAAGGCATCCAAGTTGGTAAGGAAGCAGTAA